ACGTACACACACACACGTGCGTACACACACACACGTACAGACACACACGTACAGACACACACACGTGCGTACAGACACACACACGTGCGTACACACACACACACGTGCGTACAGACACACACGTACACACACACACACGTACAGACACACACGTACACACTCACGTACAGACACACACGTACACACTCACGTACAGACACACACGTACACACACACGTACGTACACACACACACGTACAGACACACACGTACACACACACACACACGTACAGACACACACGTACACACACATACGTGCGTACATAGACACACACACGTACAGACACACACACGTACAGACACACACACACGTACAGACACACACGTACACACACACACGTACAGACACACACACACACGTACAGACACACACACGTACAGACACACACACACGTACAGACACACACGTACAGACACACACGTACACACTCACGTACAGACAAACACGTACACACACATACGTGCGTACATAGACACACACACGTACAGAGACACACACACGTGCGTACAGACACACACACACACGTACAGACACACGCGTGCGTACAGAGACACACACACACGTGCGTACACACACACACACGTGTGCATACAGACACACACACACGTACAGACACACACGTGTGCATACAGACACACACACACGTACAGACACACACACACGTACAGACACACACACACGTACAGACACACACGTGTGCATACAGACACACACACGTACAGACACACACACACGTACAGACACACACACACGTACACACACACGCGTGCGTACAGAGACACACACACACGTGCGTACAGACACACACACACGTACAGACACACACACACGTACAAACACAGACGTACAGACACACACGTACAGAGACACACACACACACGTGCGTACAGAGACACACACACACACACGTACAGAGACACACACACACGTACAGACACACACGTACAGACACACACACACACGTGCGTACAGAGACACACACACACGTGCGTACACACACAGACGTGCGTACAGAGACACACACACACACGTACAGACATACACGTACAGACACACACACACGTACAGACACACCCGTACAGACACACACACGTGCGAACAGACACACACGTACGTACATAGACGCGTGTGTGGGTGTGTGTGTACGGCGTGGTGTGGGGAGCGGTAGTGTAGCGGTCAGCGCGCTGCGCTATAGAACCCGGCTATCCGGGTTCGACTCCCGCTCACGGCCAACACCACAGTGACGATTATCTGAACCGGTCCTGGGCCTCCCCTAGGTCGACTCAACCTCAAATGAGTACCTGGTTCGGTGTGTAAACATCGCCACTGGGGAGACAAAGGCGGTCGGGCGTGGGGCTGGCCACCCACCCCCTCGTGTGCCGTGCCGGCCTTCATAAGGTGCTGCTCGCTCACAGCACTTGCCCCAACAGTCTGTTCAGGCTATACGGGGGATCTTTGTCTTTATAGATACATATCGATAAGAACAAAGCAGCAAGTGGTGTTTGCGAGCTCATATTAAGGTCGTATGTGGTAACGAGAGGGTGGGGGGCCAACACAGCCCCCGGCCGCCTTTGTCTCCCCAAGGCTGAGTCGACCTAGGAGAGGTTACAAATATTCTCCGTCACTGTCATTGGTCGTGAGCGGGAATCGAACTCGGGTCGCCGGGTTCGTAGCGCAGCGTAGCGCTAACCGCTGCACCACCGCTCCCCGCACAGACACATTCAAACACACACACAGACACACACAGACACACACAAACACACAGACACATTCAGACACACACACAGACACACAAACACACAGACACATTCAGACACACACACATTCACACACAAACACACACACACTCACACACACACACGTTCACACATAAACACACACACAGACACACACATTCACACCTGCGATTTGCACGGTAGGCTACGTACGGCGCGAAAGAAGTTCAGCATGCATATATAAAGGAAGCAAGTGCTGTTAGCGAGCGACTATTAAGGTCACATCGCCAGGTAGGAACGGAACACACAACATGCAAAAATACATACATATAGACACACACATACACAACATGCGTGCAAAAATACATACATATAGACACACACAACATACATACGTTTATGCACACACATACATGAATACACACATATAGACACACACACACAACACGCATGCATACACAAATACATACGTACGCATGTAGCATGCATACATACATTAACACATACGTATAGACACACACGTACACATTAAAGACGCCACACAGGCAAAGATCACCCGGATAACCTTTCGAGGCTGTCGGGGAAAGTGCGGCTCACGAGGGGTAGTGGTGGTGGTGTTGTGGCAAGCACCGCGCCCGACCGCCTTTGTCCCCGCGGTGATGATTGCCTACTCGTTTATGAGGCTGAGTCGACCTAGGGGAGGCACTGATGCGAGTCGTGAGTGTGTGAAGCGACTCACACATACGCACGCGTTACGCACACTGCGTAACAAAGCCGACACTCACATTCACAGGTGCGCGCAAGTGTATACATGTAGACTGTATACACATACATCTATATATGTGTGTACCTGTATTCATACTCACAGAGAGATATTATATCTCAATCATACGAGTCCCATTTACACACACGCACACATTGACAAATGCTCACTTGTAAGCAGAGCGCACAATGCAGTATTTTTTTTATAAAACTATACGACTGCATTTACACACGCACTGCAGTAATAGTACACACACACATATATTTCCACACACACATGTATATGTGTGTGATACATGCAACTGCACACAGAAAAAAAAACACCATGACTTCTCCATCAGTTGAGGTTCACACACACACGCAACAAAGACAGAGACCCCCCGTGTAGCCTTAACAGGCTGTCGGGGCAAGTGCTGTTAGCGAGTAGCACCTGTAAATGACGGCACGGCACACGAGGGGGTGGGTGGCCAGCACCGCCACACCCGGCCGCCTTTGTCTCCCTAGTGACGATGTTTTTACGCACCGCACTAGGAACTCGTTTGAGGCTGAGTCGACCTAGGGGAGGAGGCCCAGGATCGTCACCGTGAGCGGGAATCGCCGGGTTCATAGCGCAGCGCGCTAACCACTGTGCCACCGCTCCCCATACACACGCATACACACAAAGACAAAGATCCTCCGTGTAGCCTTAACAGACTCTAGGGGCAAGTGCTGTTAGCGAGCACCTGTAAAGGCAGGCACGGCACACGAGGGGGTGGGTGGCCAGCACCACGCCCGGCCGCCTTTGTCTTCCCAGCGGCGATGTTTACACGCAGCACCAGTGACTCATTTGAGGCTGAGTCGACCTAGGGGAGGAGGCCCAGGACCGGTTCAGATAATCGTCACTGTGGTGTTGGCCGTGAGCGGGAATCGAACCCGCAGTTGCCGGGTTTGTAGCGCAGCGTGGCGCAAACCGCTGCACCACCGCTCCACTGCAGCCGTGCACTCCGTCTCGCACGCACAAGCCCGATAAGTCCACGCACATAGGTACACGCATACACAATACACGCATGCACCTGCATCGGGCACGGAGAAAGAAAATCCTCCAACATTTAAAGCGCCCCCCCCCCCCCCCCACACACACACAGATACATTACACACGCACGCGCATTCACACGCACGCGCATTCACACGCACGCGCGCGCGCACGTGCATACAGCAAACGCATCTCCACCCCACTCCCCTTTTTCGCTTAAAGCCCAACACTCAATCTCTTCTCCGTCTTAAAGAAACAAAACAAAACAAAAACCCTCTTTCTCTCTCTCTCGCTCTCTCGCTCGCTCGCTCGCCCTTTCTGTGAATAAAAATTATATAGAAAGAAAATGAGCTCCGTGTCTTTAAAACATCGTTTGACCCCTCCCCGCGCCTCCCTCCCTCCCTCCCTCGCTGCCTTCCATCCTCCACTCGCACCCCACTCCAATAATGGGCAGACCCCCCCCCACCACACTTTCCCAAATCCCCCCCCCCCCACCCACCGCCTCCCGCCCCCCCCTCTCAAAAAAAAGTGAAAGCAGTTTGCAAGAATCCATTGGCGCCGCTGTGAGCTAATGCTCGCCATGCCCCCTCCCATGCTAATGGTGCCATTAAATAGGTGCGCTGCGTGCCGCGCAGGCTACAGAGACGCTGTCTCGGCGCACGGCTCGGAGCCACGCGCAACTACCTGCTCCTTCCTCGGGCTGCGGATGGAGTCCATCTCGTAGCAGCATCTGCATCACTAGCAGCATCAGCAGCAGCAGCAGCATCAGCAGCAGCATCAGCAGCATCAGCAGCATCAGCAGCAGTAGCAGCAGCATCAGCAGCAGTAGCAGCAGCATCAGCAGCATCAGCATCAGCAGCATCAGCAGCATCAGTAGCAACATCAGTAGCAGCATCAGCTATAACAGCAGCAGCATCTGCATCAGTAGCATCAGCAGTAGCAGCAGCATCAGCATCAGTAGCATCAGCAGTAGCAGCATCAGCAGCAGCATCAGCAGCAGCAGCATCAGCAGCAGCATCAGTTTCAGTAGCAGCAGTAGCAGCAGCATCAGCATCAGTAGCATCAGCAGTAGCAGCATCAGCAGCAGCAGCAGCATCAGTAGCAGCAGTAGCAGCATCAGCAGCATTAACAGCAGCAGTAGCAGCAGCAGCAGCAGCATCAGTAGCAGCAGTAGCATCAGCAGCAGTAGCAGCATCAGCATCAGTAGCAGCATCAGCAGTAGCAGCAGCAGTAGCAGCTCACCCACCCCGCCGCTCGCTGTCTCTCTCTCTCTCGTCTCGCGAGGAGGTAGAGAGGGAGTTTCCAATCCGGCAGAGAGTGCGTGCGTGTGCGCGCAGACACCGCAGGGCAGGGCAGGACGGCCAACCTCTTCGCAGCCAATACATAACTCGAACCTTTCTTTCAGTGGACTTCGATTTTGTTCTTTTAAAATTCATTTTTTGTTTGTTTTTTTTAAACGACAACCGGGGCGATGTCGCGTTCCTTCCTCGTCGATTCGCTCATCGTCAAGGACCCACTGCGCCCCGGCCGCTCCCCACTGGACAGCCTCCACCACCACCACCACCATCATCAGCAGCAGCAGCAGCACCACCTGCACCACCATCACCACCACCAGCACCACACCAGCAGCATGCTGCCACCGCTCCACTTCGACATGCACGGCGCGCACTCCCCGCCCGGCTTGAGCCCCAGCCACATGCGCAAAACTCTCCCCCCACCACCACCACCTCCGCAACTTCCGACTACAACAGCAGCAGCCACAACAATAGCAGCGGCGGTGGCAGCAGCAGCAGCAGCAGCAGCTGCGTCTTCTCCTTCGTCTACCGCAGCAGCAGCTGCCGCAGCAGCAGCAGCAGCAGCCGCAGCGGGATTCTGCGTCTGCCCCCTGTGCATGCGGACCGCCGGGGGTGGAGGCGCCATGGCTTCGATCACAGGCGTCGGCGGAGGCGCGATGGGCTCCCTGTCGCACCACGCGCTGCTCAAGTCGCCCTTCGCCGAGAGGGTGCCGGCCCCCTACTGCGGCGGGCAGCAGCCGCAAGGACCTTGCGTGCCGCCCAACCCATCGCACGGCCTCTGCGCGCCCGCCTACGCGATGCCGGGACCCGGGTTCCATCACTGCCTTCCGCTCGGTGGGTGAAGGGCGGGCTGGTCCGCACGCAGAGACACACACATACACAGAGACACACACACAGAGAGATACATCGACACACACACACACAGAGATACATCGACACACACACACAGAGACACACACACACAGATACATCGACACACACACACACACAGAGACACACACAGACACGCACGGAGACACATCGACACACACACACACAGAGATACATCGACACACACACAGAGACACACACACACACAGATACATCGATACACACACACACAGAGACACACACAGACACGCACGGAGACACATCGACACACACACACACAGAGATACATCGACACACACACACAGACACACACACACACACACAGATACATCGATACACACACACACAGAGACACACAGACAGACACGCGCGGAGACACATCGATACACACACGCACAGACACACAGGCACAGACACGGAGGCGCGTAGAGACACCACGCGCAGAGAGACACACACACAGACACACACGGAGACACATCGACACACACACACAGATACATACAGACACGCACGGAGGCCCGTAGAGACACCACGCGCAGAAGACACACACACACACACACAGACACGCACGGAGACACATCGATACACACATACAGAGATACATACAGACACGCACGGAGGAGCGTAGAGACACCACGCGCAGAGACACATAGACACGGAGACACATCGACACACACACACAGAGATACACACAGACACGCACGGAGGCGCGAAGAGACACCACGCGCAGACACACACACACACACAGACACGCACGGAGACACATCGACACACACACACAGAGATACATACAGACACGCACGGAGGCGCGTAGAGACAACACGCGCAGAGACTTACGGAGACACATCGAGACGTATTGACGGAAACACGCACGGAGATACATCGACACACACACAGAGATAATTACAGACACGCACGGACACGTATAGAGACATGCATAAACACAAAGATACACACGGAGACGCGTCGAGATACAAAGACAAAGATCCCCCGTATAGCCTTAACATACGGTTGCGGCAAGTGCCGTTAGCGAGCACCTATGAAGACCGGCACGGCACACGAGGCCGTGGGTGACCCAGTACCACGCCCGGCCGCCTTTGTCTCCCTAGAGCTTATGTTTACAGAGCTCACCTGGCGCTCAGACAGACACACTCACACCGAGATAGGCACGTACTCTCAGGGACACGCACATACACGCACATCGCGCGCGCTGTCACGGTCGTTTCGTCTGATGTCACGCGCGCCCGTGTGCGTGTGCCTGTGCCTCCGTGAATAATCTGCGTTATCCACACGCGTGTGATGATGAGATCACGCGGGGAGCGGCATTGGAGCGCTTCGAAGCCGGCGGCCCGAGTTCGATTCCCGCCGACGGCCACCAAACAGCAATAACGATTATCTAAACCGGTCGTGGGCCTCTCCTAGGTCGACTCGGCCTCAAATAAGTACCTAGTGCGGTGTGTAAACCTCGCCGCTGGGAATGCAAAGTAGACCAAGCGTGATGCTGGCCACCCGCCCCCTCGTGTGGCATGTCGGCCTTTATAGTTGCGATTCGCTAACCAGCACTTGCCCCAACAGTCTCTGGTGAGGCTATACTGAGTCAGGGATCTCTATCTTTGTACGTTGCGTGGAGAGGTCTGCTTAAGATGCGTAAGGCAGCGGCGGTTAAACGCGCGCGGCGCGACTGAATCTCTTTGCTGCCAGCCGAAGCAAGGGCTCTCAACCTCCCGTGTTTTACGCATTAAAGTTTCTCGACGATTCATCGATGAATCGAGTCAAATGCCACGAGCATCTCATAGCGGCGCTCCCCTAGAACCTCGACAGCCGCTGCTTTTCTTGAGAAATCGGCCGAAAGTTGGAAGGAAAATCGTTCATCACACGCGACTGGCGCGCGCGCCGTCACGGGCGAGGTGGATTTGACAACGTGCGGACCGCGACGTAGGCGCGTGACGTCGCGCGCGCTCACGTTTGGACGTAACTGCTGAAGCTACTTTGTGTACAAGTATATATATATATATGTGTGTGTGTGCATATTGGACGTGGTGCTGTATTCGTAGAGTGGTAGGTGAGCTGGCTTTATCTTCTTGGTTCTTTCGGTAAAGTCACGTAGAAGGGAAGTAATAACGGCTGCTTGCGTTGTGGCCGAAACGTCGTGAGAATTATTTTATTATGTTTTATTTTTATTATTTTATTACTTCCCTTCTACGTGACTTTACCGAAAGAACCAAGAAGATGAATCCCTGCAGTCACGAAAGCTTTAAAAGCTGGCTTTAGTAAAGTATTCTGAAAGGTTCTGGCGGAGGCGGCTGTCGGCGTGCGCTGTCGCGAGCACGCAGCACGCGGGCGATGAAAAGCGAGTCCGCGTGCTGTCGTGCGTTAATTAAAATGCATTGATAATTAATTATTAATGTGACTAGCCAATTAATTATGCACTTAATTATGCGGCTCGGGAGCGGCTGTGCTGTCGGTAGCCAACTTTTAAACTGTACCACCGGTGTTTGCAAAAAAAAAGGGCAAAGCACTATTTGGTTCGTTCTCATTCGCTTTTGATGCGGAGCAAACAGGTGAACGGGCAGACAGAGAGAGACACACAGACAGAGAGACAGACAGAGACACACGGACATACAGAGACACAGACAGACAGAGACACACAGACAGACAGAGACACACACAGACAAAGACACACACACAGACAGAGACACACAGACAGACAGAGAGAGACACACACACACAGACACACAGACAGAGACACACAGACAGAGAGACAGACAGACAGAGAGACACAGAGACACAGAGACACACAGACACACAGACACACAGCCAGACAGAGACACACAGAGACACACAGACAGAGAGACAGACAGACAGAGAGACACAGAGACAGAGAGACACAGAGACACAGAGACACAGAGACACACAGACACACAGACACACACAGACAGACATTTGAGTGCTGTCTGAATAACGCACTTCTTTGCGCGCTAGCAATGCGCCATAAACCACGTGAATGTACGTGTGTGTTTAAACACAAATCATGCAATTGTAGTTTTGTCAAACGGCAAAGAGTAATTTGCCTTACATTCCCGGCTTACCTGCATTCGATTCCACAACGCCCAGCCGCCTTCGTCTCCCTACAGTGCTCACGTTACTTTGAGGCTGATTCTTCGACCGAGCAGTGTGATTGCCCATGACCAGTGCAGACATCCCTCGCCCGGAATCGAACTCAGGTGGTCGATTTGGAAGCGCAGTGCGCCAACCACTACGCTACCTTCCCCCCCCCCTCTTCCTCACTCCCTCCACCACCTCCTCCAACACACAAAGACAAAAATACCCGTGTAGCCTTAACAGACTGTAGGGGCAAGTGCTGTTAGCGAGCACCTATGAAGGCCGGAACGGTACACGAGGGGGGGTGTGTGGTGGCCAGCACCACGCCCGACCGCTTTTGTCTCCCTAGTGGCGATGTTTACCACACACCGCACCAGGTACTCATTTGAGGCTGAGTCGACCTATGGAGGCCCAGAACCGGTTCAGATAATCGTCACTGGGTGTTGTTAGCCGTGAGCAGAAATCGAACTCGGGTCGCCGGGTTCGTAGCGCAGCGTCAAGCGCTACAACACCGCTCCGCACAATCAGACACACACACACAGGAACACACACAGACACGCACACACCCGCGTGCCGAACCACCGACCCCTAACGCAATCGACCCCTTCTCCCCCCCCCCTCGCCGCCCCACCTCTCTCTGTGTCGCAGGCGCCGATGGTGGCGGAGTTCTGAGCAGCAGCAGCAGCAGCAAGCGTATGCGCACGGCGTTCACGAGCACGCAGCTCCTGGAGCTCGAGAGAGAATTCTCCTCCAACCGATACCTGTCGCGCCTGCGACGCATCGAGATCGCCACGTACCTGAACCTCTCCGAGAAGCAGGTCAAGATCTGGTTCCAGAACCGGCGCGTCAAGCACAAGAAGGAAGGGAAGGCGATTGGCGGCGGCGGTGGTGGAGGAGGTGGAGGTGGAGGAGGTGTTGGCGGTGGTGCTGCTGTTGTTGTTGTTGGCGGTGGTGGTGTCGGTGGTGGCGGTGTCGGTGGTGTTGTAGCAGCGGTAACCGCTCCAGTGGCAGGAGACGTGAGCCCTGGCAAGGCCGTGGGGACGAGGGGCTGCAAGTGCGGATGCGAGTCGTCGTCCATCAGAGCTCGTGCTCGCGAGGACGATGATGAGCGTGACGATGATGATGGTGGTGGTGGTGGTGGTGGCGGCGGTGACGATGATGACGACGACGACGTGTCGATGACCCCTTCTCCTCCAGCGAAAGAGAAGAAGGAACCCTTGTGACTTTGATCGACGACGACGATGATGCCGTTGGTGATGGTGGTGATGGTGATGATGGTGTAGGTGACGGTGTTGTTAGTTTAACTTTGTACGCGAGAGGCGACTGCTGCAGCTGACCACGCGACGCCGCGACGCGTGGTGCACCCAGCCTGGCACCGGTGGGCGCAGTTTGGTCTGCGTGAGTGCGTCTCGAACGCGTCCATTGAACGTGTTCGTGCGTGAAGTGTCACGTGCCGTCGCGCATGAACACGCGCGCGCGCACACACGCACACACACACACACGCACACACACACACACGCAGCCATGCACACACACGCACGCACACACGCGCGCGCGCACACACACGCACACACACGCACACACGCGCACACACGCGCGCGCGCATGAACACGCGCGCGCGCACACACACGCACATACACGCACACACGCGCACGCACACACAAGGAGCACCTGCTGTTAGTGAGCGCCTAATGTGCGTGTGCTCAGTGCTCACGTTAATAGGCGCCGCCTATTAACGTGAGCACTGAGCACACGCACACACACGCGCACGCGCACACACACACACCCACACACACGCACACACACGCACACGCACACACACGCACACACAAGGAGCAGCTGCTGTTAGCGAGCGCCTATTAACGTGAGCACTGAGCACACGCACACACACGCACACACACACACGCACACACGCGCACGCACCGAATTCGACACGCACGCACACGCACACGCACGGATGCGTATCGACGCGCACAGCCACCCGCCTCTTGTGTCAATCCTTGTGCCTATGACTTGGATACGACAAGTCATTTACTTGTTTATATGACAATGACAAAGATCCCCCGTGTAGCCTTAACAAACTGTTGGGGCAAGTGCTGTTAGAGAGTAGCACCTATGAAGGCCGGCACGGCACACGAGGGGGTGGGTGGCCAGCCCCACGCCTGACCGCCGTTGTCTCCCCAGTGGCGATGTTTACACACCGCACCAGGTACTAATTTTGAGGCTGAGCCGACCTAAGGGAGGCCCAGGACCGGTGGAGATAATCGTCACCGGTGTTGGCCGTGAGCGGGTCTTCACCGTTACGCAACCCCACGTGTGTATATGCACACACACGCGCACACAGACGCGTACACAAAGACAAAGATCCCCTGTATAGCCTTAACAGACTATAGGGACAAGTGCTGTTAGCGAGCACCACGCGTACACACACACACGCGCACACACACGCCCACACACACACATGCCCACACACACACACGCGCGCACACACACACACGCCCACACACACACGCGCACACACACACGCACGCACACACACACGCATGCCCCCACACACACACGCGCACACACACACACACGCGCACACACACACGCCTACACCACACATGCCCACACACACGCACGCGCACACACACACACGCGCACACACACACACGCGCCCACACACACACACGCAAAGTCAAAAGCCCCACGGTGTAACGTAGCCACCGCCTGTTGAAAGTGCGCAGGGAAGGCAGCGGAGTTTGCAAGAATATACCAAAAAATTGTCGCGCCCCGTGTCTGTGCCCCGGTGTGATATTGCGTGCTCACGATGACCGTCGCCGCCGTTGTTGTTGTTGTTGTCGTTGTTGTTGTTGTTGTTTATTTACACTGACGGCGACGCGAGACTTAAGTGCCTGGTGCGTGACGAACAGCAAATGTTGGACTGAGAGATGTTCGGGATATCGTGGTGATGATGATGATGATATTACTATTGATAATAATGTTAATAATATTATTGTCGATCAGGGGTCATTGCCGCTGCGTTGCTCAATCCACTGCTGGATGATTGTGCCGTCTCACGCCTGGGGGTCATTGTGGGGGGGGGGGGGGGGATTATGACGGAGCACTTGGACGTTCACTTGATGTGGCGTTAAACTCTTAATCTCTCACACACACAAAGACAAAGATCCCCCGTATAGCCTGTAACAGACTGTTGGGGCAAGTGCTGTTAGCGAGCAGCACCTACGAAGGCCTGGGAACGGCACACGAGGGGGGTGGGGGGTGGGCAAAACCACGCCCGGCCGCCTTTGTCTCCCCAGTGGAGACGTTTACTCCGCACAGTAGCACCAGGTACTCATTTGAGGCTGAGTCGACCTCACGGACACACACCCACACAGCCGCCGCCGTGTATCGTTGGTGCCACACGGGGAGGCTGTCCGTCGGCTGTTTATAGCGTTTTGTTTTCTTGTTGTTGACATTGTTGTTGTTGTTGCTGTTGTTGTTGTTGTTGTTATACAACGCGCGAGGCCAATGCTCCAGCTGACGCCGGTGAGAATGGCGCACAAGGTCACGAGTGGTGGTCGTGGGTGTTTCATTTCGCGATGGGTTTTGTAAAATGCTGTCGTGTCCTGGTGATGTTCGGATTTTTATTTTTTTACTTGTCAGTGTTGATACCCACCCACCGCTCACCCTCACCCTCCCCCTCCCCCTCACCCTCTCAC